TATTATTATTATTATTATTATTATTATTATTATTATTATTATTATTATTATTATTATTGAGATATAAAAACAGATTCCAACAAATAATACAGACAAAGGCTGTTTATTACTCACCATCAATAACCTTTCAGTTATGTTTCCAAGGTGATTACAAATATGGAGATAGCTGTATACTCCACATAAACAAAATAAAATCCAGTTGTGATCAACACCAACCACAACTTCATGACAGTGTGTAAGCTTTCTAGTCTTCTAGGATTTTTTATCAAGTTAGATGGTTAAAAAACAGCTCAGTGTGGGGGTAAAACATAGATATCTCAAATTTGACTGTATGTTTTAGGCATTATACTCAGTTCCAAATAGAGACGGGGTAGTTAATAACAGCAACAATAAATTGTGTGTCATCAAGTCATAGGCATTATACTCAGTTCCAAATAGAGACTGGGTAGTTAATAACAGCAACAATAAAATTGTGTGCCATCAAATCAACTCCAACTTATGACAATCTTTTTCAGAATTTTCTGGGTCGAGAGTACAGTGATGCCTCGCTTAACGATTGCTCTGCATTATGACAAAATCGCTGTACAACAATCTTTTTGCGATCGCAAAACGATGGTCTAAATGTTTTTTTTCGCTTTGCGAAGATTGGTTCCCTGCTTCGGGAACCGATTCTTCACATTACAAGGATCAAAACAACTGATCGTCGGGTTTTCAAAATGGCCACCGGTTGCTTAAAATGGCTCCCCACTGTGTTTAGGGACAGATTCCTTGCTATACAGGCACCGAAAATGGCCGCTGTATGGAGGATCTTCGCTGGACGGTGAGTTTTTACCCCACGGGTTTCAATGTGTTTCAATGGGGTTTTTAATATCACTTTACAATGTTTTCGCTTAACGGCGATTTTCCTGGAATGGATTATCGTTGTTAAGCGAGGCACCACTGTACTCAGAAATGGTTTACCATTCCCTTCTTATTGAGGTCATCCTGAGACTGTGCAGCTTGCCTAAGGTCACACAGGCACAGCAAACTTCCAACCTGCAGCCAGATACTTAACAGAGCCTCATGGTGCAGTGGCTAAACTGCTGTACTGTAGCCAAAATTGTGCTCACGACCCAGGGTTCGATCCGAGGTAGCTGGCTCAAGGTTGACGAAGACTTCTGTCCTTCCAAGGTCGGTAAAATGAGTACCCAGCTCAGGGGGGGGGCAATGTGTAGCCTGCATAATTAACTTATAAACCGCCCAGAGAGTGCTTGAAGTGCTATGGGGCAGTATATAAGCAGCATGCTTCTGATTTTGCTTTGCTATCCATCCAACAGTTAACAACAAACATAAGAACTTAAGAAAACCACAGGTGATCAAAACAAAAGCTTATTCACTTGGACATTCTATTCTTGCAGTAACCAATAAGCAGAACATTAAAGAAAAAATTCACAATTTAGGTTTTTTAAAAAATTATATGCCAGTTGCAGCAGAAGCTGGGCCTTGGAAGGTGGACAGAGCACTGTAAAACCTGGTATGTTATTAAACTTTCATAACCTGTTTGCCTACGTGTCTTTTCACAGCACAAAAGGAACAAGATGGGGGGAGATGGCACAATTATGCTAAGGAATATTGCACTTATGAACAATTCAGTTTGTTTGCTAGCCAAGGTTACCTTGAACCATATTGATGTCTGATGGGTTGATAGGGGCTGCAATCATTTTCACATGGACTCCAGAATCTCCCAGTTCTGCTAGATCTATCTCTTTTAGGCTGGAAAAAAGACAGACAAAATGGAGCACTTTTCCTAAGAGCAATTCTCTCTTATCTTCAAGGTGATTATCAAGCATTTCACTGGAGTTCTCTCTGTCTTTTATGAATTCCCTCATCAACTCCATTTCTATTACAAAAGAAAACACGCAAGACTTCAGGCAAAAACAAAAGAAAAGTAAAAAATAAAGAAGTCAAAAAAAATTATGTCTAAGGAAGTGGATTTGTCTGCGGAAGCTCACATTAAAATATGGCAGTTACTCTTTAAGGTGGCATGACTTTTTTTTCCTTTTTTTGTCTTATAGGCTAGAAGACCAATGAGATGGCTGCCTCTTCTAACACAAAGGCTTGTTTAAGTACAATTTTCTCTTAAGAACTTCTATCAGTATCGCATCAACTTTGGAGCATCTTCGTCTTTTTATCAGAACTTAGAAACAGTAATCATAATGCTATTATGTAAAATAATTATTATGGTTGCTGAGAATAAAACATCAAGAAATTTCTAAAGTCAATTCCTTAAACTAAAAAAAATCACTTCAATTTGCTGAAAATTACTGTAATGAGTTAATGTGCCAAGAAACATGGAAGCAACATCATTTGTCATTTTAACAAGCAAAAAAATTAAACTGAAATTGGTTGCTGAACAAAATTAACAAATTATAGGAATAAATTAGTGTTTAATAAATTATTTTCACATTCTGGTTCTTATCTTACTATTTGAAAAATAAGTTTCAAAAACAACTAAGAATATTTCTACACTCGCAGCTTATGGACGTTACTCACTTTTAACAATGACACTGGGACAATATGTCATTTTGTGATGTATGTCATGTTGTTCCCCCCCCCCCATCTTTTCCTCCAGAACTGGTCTGCGGCAATTTCTAAGCACTTTAATACCCAGGTGCAGTGCCAGCCCATCAAGCACAGACTGGCTGGATTGCTACAGTTCCTGTAATTGGCAAGGTCTTCCTCCTTCACCCTTTCCTTTAAAGCAGGTTTTTCCCTTGGAATTCTTGTTTTTAATGCACTTCTGTGAACAGCTCTTAATTAGCAACACCCTCTTCTCTACAAAAGAGTTCCTTTAGTTACTGACTTTCTTTTTTCACAGCAGAAACAAGTGCTTATTTTGCTTTATTTTATTCAGTTGTAAAAACAAAGCCAACAATTAAAACAGGCAAGCAGTGACTTATTGGAAAGGGGCAAAATAGGAAGTTGTTCATTAAAGGGAGACTGGAATGCAGAAGCAGAAACTTCGTTTAGTAGGACTTCTGAATAACCACATAGTCTTGTTCCCAAGTTGGGCATTGAAGGTTTTGTGATTGGGAAAATGGCACAGTATAAAATGCCACATGAATCTTTGTTTTAATAGTTGTGGTCTATCAGAAGAAATGCCTCAATAACATTAAGCTCCTATAACCAGAAGTAGCAGGAAGTGAAATCAGGTATGGCAGTAAAGCCAAAGTCAGGTGTAAGACCAATACAAGAAATAAGTACTTAACAGTTCTAAAAGCTGACTGTTCAGGTAGACAGTTTATGTTATGGTGTCAATAAAGACACGAACGCTTATTGGTTCCTTCCTCCTTGGGGCTGGAATTCTGGAACTGAAGGGACAGGGAGATCAGTACTCCTGTTACCAACAAATAAGAGTAAACTGGCAACTGGCTTGTCTCAAATATTGTTTTTTTGTGGTCTCTCTCTATATGGCCAATGTCCCTCTCAAAGAGAACATGGAAAGGGTCATTCAAAACCACCATACTATGGTGGAGGATAGTAGGAAGGGTGAACATACGAACAGTTCCTTTGGTTATTGAGTCTCTGGAGAGTGATGCTTCTCATATTGAGTCTCCATGGCAGGGAATCTGGAATAAACAGTGGCATCTCTGAGGGATTCTTGATGTCAATCTCGACCGAGACTGGGTCCTAGATTGTTACTGAGTGTCTTGTCCCCTAAAATGGAATAATGCAGTCACCCACTCTGCATGTGATGGCTCAACTGAATGTTCAATGGCACATGGTGGAGATTGTGTCATGCTATGAGAAAATATGTTCCTTAACTCACCAACAGAGATGGATCCTATGCACATAATATCAGCATTACCAGATGAAGCTACCTCGCCAGATGGGGTTTTTGAATGAGGAATTGGAGGATGTTGAGAAACAGGCAATTTAACCACAACAGATTGCAATGACAACTAACCTTGATGTTCCACTTTTTTTCTTACGTTGTTTATGTTTAAACAATCTGAAATTGAAGGCCCCTTCTTATGTTTTATTGGTGTCAATGGTAGGATTGATTTCGAAGGGCTAGGATATGAGATATGCCTCAAGTCTAAGTTTCTGGTGCGTCCAGTTGAGGAGAGGCCACTGGCAGGTGCACTGGACTAGGTTTAGAAACTGTTACTGGAGTCGGTTGAGATTGTTGTGTCAAGGAGTCCATTGCCTACAAGGATTTTTCCCACAAATGAAATCTAAGACATGACTGATGGTTTTTCAGTGCAACCTTAGTTAATCTTTTACAGAGAGTGCACTGCTGTGTAAGCTGTTTCTCCCCAAGGCAGAAAAGGCACTTCTTATGCCTGTTGGAGCAAGGAACTTTCCCTCCACAGACAGTACCTTTTTGAATAGGATTTCAGAGTCCATAAAAATTGGTGGGAATAGGGAGTGGGGCAAAATAACAAACAACTATCTTTTTTGGACAATGAAGAAAAAAGATTGGAAGAAAAATATGACAACAGAGACTACAACAGAGAAAAACAGGTAGGCTACACAGAATAATTACAAACTAGTTGTGAGGTGAGAAGAGAAATCACTCTATAGAACACTCTCTAGGTTGGTGGCTGTCAGCCTCACGCCCCCAGATGTTCTTGGATGAAAAGTCACAAAAGCCTTCACCACTAGCTGTGCTGGCCATGATTTCTGGGAGTTACAGTCCAAGAACATCTGGGAACATAAGTTTAGCAAACACTGTTCTAGGTACTGCTTGCATGGTAAAAATGATTGAAAAGAGGAGGAACTGTTAGGGGGAGCACCTGAGCATGCACAGTGGGCACTGGAGGTAAAGAGATATTTTAAGAATACAAGGCTCCAGAACATTGAGAGGATTGTTTTGCATAGGTGTTAAAACCCGTATGTGTGACTCATAGACACCATGAAGAATAAATTTTCTTCTAACATCAGCAGATCATTGGAAGTAATAGATTTTGGGCTTAAATGAGCTACTTTGACATTTATTAGAACCCAAAGATCGCCCACATGTAAGACATTAGCTGTGCGGGACGATGCGTTTGTTCACAGAAAAAGTCTGCCTTCTGAGTATAGACAGAAGGCAGGAATTAATTTCCAGGATCAAATCAAAGTACTGTAATGTCCTGTCACACCAGCCACTGTTTCTTCACTAAACTTTCTTCAATCTAAGCAGCCAAATGGAAGGGGGGCAGATTTTTCATGCTTTTTAACTGTTCAACAAATAGGGAGTTTGAACATCATACTTAACGACTGCAATTTACTCACAAAGCTACCTGTAGATACCAATCCACCTTCTGCTTGATTTAAATAATGTATATGGGGGGGGGGCTAAAATATGTCAACTACCGTAGCAATTTTTAAATCCCTACAGACTCTTTTTCTGCCTTTCACCCTTTACAAAAGGGATTTCCAACAGTTTTCTCACTGTAAGCAGCTAAAAGTCATTGGACACACTACTACTGAAGTTCCTGCTTGACACACTGAGCTCTTGCACCAAAAAATAAACACAAATAAACTTTAAATCCCAACAAGAAGTCAGCCCACACGCTGATTTCAGAACTGTCTTTTTTCATCTCTACCTCCACCCAAATTCAGGGATGTTCATGGGGAAGGAACTTTGCCCTCCTTGGAATATTGATTTTTAAAATTATTTTAATTGCACAGACAGATTTAATGGCCAAAATCTTGACTGTGTATTTATGTAATGCAAACCATATAACATAATTATCTGGTGCCAGTAAAATTTAATTTAAAAATATTTAAAACTTCTTATACACTTAAGTTTTGGTTCTGAGGCTCCCTTGGGCTCCATTTTGCTTTGGGGAGAAAAAAAAAATTACCACTGGATCACTGTGTGTCAGTCCCAGTCCTGGTAGTGATGATATGGTGGTGATTTTTTTTTTTTTACTATCAAAGGCTACCTGCTCCCAAATCACAATGCTCCCAAAGTGCAAAACGGATGATAGCAAGCTGGCAATTAAATATTTTCAGTCTGGTTTACCACACTACACAAACAGGATTTTGGTTACTGAGGTATAATGGCTTGTGTTACGCATGTGAATTATGCTAACATGCCAGCCAGTGCAACTTCCAACTTCATTCCAGAAAAATCTTTGTGGGCCCTGAGAGGATATCAGAAAAGGTTCTTTCAGACTTAATGCTGTCAAGGGATGCTAAAATATCTCAATAGTTACAGATTAAACTCTTACAAAAACTAAAACAAGCATAGACTTTAGTTAAACTAATGAGGGACCTGTCTGAAGGCTTTGAAGAGCTATCATGAGGATCTCATCAGAAAAAACGGTAGCTGTATTTAGATATTTTACCGTGTTTTCTAGCTCTCATGATGCCACATCAGTTTACACCAAAATCTAACACACACTGAGGAACACAGGTTAAAAAAAAACACCACACTACAAATGCAAAGCAAGACACAAATATGAAAAGACAATAGCTGCACAAATCATCCATCCCCAATGAAAATGAGACAGCAGCCAAATCCTAGAACTGTGTCACTTGAACACATTCAAGTCATTGCAAAATGTGCATCAAGGCAAAAATCATGCCAGCTGCACAACTGGTTGAACAATTAATTGCACAATCAGACACAAGGACTATCTAGGTGTAATTTCTTGTGAACTTCATGTTATGTCAAATGGAACAGAATTTCAGCCAACATGTTAGACTCTGGAATGTTCTACTTGCGGAGTTCAAAGTGCCAAGAATGAAAGTAGATTATATTCATCACCAACAGCTGC